GGAGGGAGGGTGGACAGTGCACAAAACACAGGAAGATGAGGAGAAAAAGATGAGGGGACAGAATGGAGGGGAACCAAAACAGATGGTAAAGGCTGGTCGGAGAGAAAGGGGCGGCACTGAAAGGATGAAGAGGTGGGGGCTGAAAACTATTGGCGACACATGCATCATCACAGTAACAGCGAGGAAGAACACCTAAAACATGACTGAATCCCATATGGAAACAAACAGACAGCCCCATAGACCACTTATATACGGATGTTTGAAGCCATACAAAACTCCTCATTTCCACTACATCTGTACTATGTGGATTAAACTCTTTTTTAAAGATGATATGTTGTGTCCAGGGGCGGATCTAAAGAGGTGTGCCACCATCTAAAAACTGCCACCCCAGCTTGGCGTCAAATGCTGACAAATTAAACACTTTAATTTAGATTAATTTTGAAAATAACATATCAAAAGTGGAAATTAATTTAAAGGTCTAGTGTGTAGGATTTAGTGGAATCGTAGTTGCAGATTGCACCTTCCTGGCTTCACCCTCCCCTTACAAAGGAGAAACTAGCCCTATCTGGAGCCAGTTTGTCTGTTCTGGGCTACTGTAGAAACATCGCGGTCCAACGTGGCAGCCTCCACAGAAGGTGACCTGTGGCTCATTATAATGTCACAAAAACACAACGATTCTTATTGTCAGTTGATTATACACTAATGAAAACATACCTATGAGTATTGTGTTCCATTTCTGACCATAGATCGTCCCAAATTTTACACACTGGCCCTTTAATGATCTGTTATGGTCACATTTTAGGCAAAGTTATGGGCTTGAGTGCAATGGAAAAAAAATGAAAAAAATTATTGATCTAAAGCCACTTTAAGATATTTCTATTAAATGCTTCACTAATGTGCCACAATAATGTGAGGTTTTGAGTTAAAATATGTTCATTTGGTAGCTTTTCCAAGCAAATCTTGATAAATGTGATTGTTTGCAATTAAATCAGCATATTTCTGCAGTCTCCATGCCACCCTCTTGCCAATATTCCTCTGAATCCGCCCCTGGTTGTCTTCTGTCTCAGAAACCCTTTTAATAGAGAGCACCATATTTTATTTAACCCACATTTAAAATCTAAACACAGGGGGAAAAAAACTATCTACTGCTACACTGGCCTTTTCCTCGCTAGTACTGCAAAAACATGTAATTATTCTTCCGTGTCGAGTGCAGGGTAGGAAACCCTCTTAAGCAAGAACGGGGCTCTGGAAAAAAGAATTAGGTTTCAGGACTTGTGAGCTGGGAAATATCGCCCACTAAGTTGGGGATTCATCAATAGTTGGAGGGTGTTTCTCCAGCTATTATGACCTAATTAGTGGGCTCATCTCGACTCCGCTACCACAAAGAAGTGCGTCACTCGATACATTATAAAGTTGTCATTAAGCGGGGTGGTATTTTTTTTTTTTTTTTTTTTTCGGGAAGCATTCATCTTCACTGGGAGCGCGCAAAGGAGGCGAGAGGCGACGTGTCTCTGTCCGCGGGGGCGCGCACCGCGAGTCAGACAGTCACACCTCTGAGTGAGTTTAAGTGAGGGATGAAAGATGGTTATAATGACTTTATTTAGACTTTATTCCTTATGTTTTCAGCCTATTGTCCCACTTGTTGGACTCCCTTTGGTGTTTTATTTTGACCTATAACGTTTAGTGGGATTATAATATCCCTGATAGAAGATATTAGACGTGCAGAATCAGCATGTCAATAACCTTATTTTGTCTTCTTTGTCAAAATACTGATTAAATAATGACATTTTGGATTTGGAACATTTTGTGGTTTCCAGATGATTTTTTTTGCTGAATGGCACTAGTTTAACTTTAAGGCAGCTCAGTTTAAAGTGTAGAAATATTCCTATATACATTAAAATAGCTGTGCATGTTTCCTTATCTGTGCAGTCGGAAGTGTTTGGCCTGACCTTTTACCCTCACCTCTTGTTGCCACCTGTCGCCGCAGGTTACCCTGCTTTTCTTTTTCTTTTTGCGGAGGCACAAACTTTGCTCGAGGAAGTAAATCCGGAGATACACCCATCAACAAGACACACCCGGACACAGGAAAGAAAGGAAACAATCGTTTAATAATGAGGCCTCACTTTGAGCGTTTAGTTATTGAGCTTGTTATTACTGTAACATCCAAGAGGGAGCAAACTCAGTTGTTCTCGGCAGTTTTCACCTTTTTTAATCTCTTAGAAATACAGCTTATAAACAGTTTGATACAAAGTCAGCAGCACATTTAAGGGGAAAAAATAGTACGAGGATACACACGGAAAGAGGGTCAAAGAGCTTTATGAAGTGTCTTTTATGAAACTTTCTCTCATAATTTAACTACAGTGGAATATTGTTCATTTTGATTGACATGAAAAAATGTTTAGTTGTAGGATTGTAACCCTCATTTTGCATCAACATATTAAAACATATTTAATGTAAAATAAAACATATTTTAGCAAAGCAGTTTTCTACTTTGTAATTTTAAAATATATAGGCTATATATTTCGAGCATTTGTTCCTTTCTCTCAGCAGTAAGTCTATTAAAACATACAGGAAGAAATGGACAAAATCAGGAGTTTATGAAGACAAACAGCCTCATTGGGAAGTTCATATTTACAGTGGGATTGTTTTTTAATGAAACTTTTTATACTATATCAGTGTTGAATCAGGGCACGGGAGGCTGTCAGGCCTGTAGTGTTTTTGTTTAGTTTAAAAATAAAGATTTTAATTCCTGTGAAGCCAAGAATACTAATAATTTGAACGAAAATGTATTCCTTTTGTCCTTCCTTTTGTCTTCTTGGATTTCTGAGTGTGTTACTGCAGTCCAAACAGAGAATCTGCACAATGATCAACTCTTTATTCCTCTCCCTGGATGTCTCAGGAGCGAATTGGTGACATTTAAGACGTTTTTCTGCGGTCTAAATAATCCTAAATGATATTTGACAGCATCATAGTGTAGCCCCCATATGAAAACGGCTTGATATGAAGCTTGAGGAAAATCACGGAGATGCTTCTGGGATATTTTCTAAATATTTATGCGTTATGAGAGTCCGGATTTAGGGCGTGTAAGACTCCTGCCCTTTGGCAAGGAGGACCTATATAATTACGCGCTATTTTAATTCACAGTATCATCGTAATAGATACCAATCTATGAGTTTTAATCCCTTGTTAAACTCTCTGTAACCTTCTGCCACCTCTCCCTCCAGGCACTTGTCATTTTCTCTCTGCGCTCTGGTCACTTTACAGAGGACTGTCTCTGTTTCCAGCTAATGTTATGATTCCCTTTAGTCTCTTTGGCGGTTTTATTTATTTAAAAACAGTCGCCCCATTGTCCTACAGCGGCACTGATGTAGTGGAATGAAGGACTTCAATCACAAATTGACGAGATAAGGATTAAACCAGAATTTTGGTCCCCCTTTCTTGTAGCAAACCTGTCGTGAAACTGAAATATATACAGTATATGCTATATATATAAAACTATAATTACTATTTTTCGCAGATCAACTGTTACAACTGTTAAATTATATATTAAAATTCTAATTTCCTCTCATGAGAAGTAGATAAATTCCCCTAAAAGGAAAAAAAAAGGCTCCATATGGTTGAATAAACCTGCTTTTATATGAGACAGACTACACGGTGCCATGGATCTCTGTCATTAGAGGTGTTGTGTTTGTTTTACAGGCTCGTGAGAACAACATTAACAGCGGTTTAACTCAGGGGGATCCTGACACCCTGGTGTGACATCACGCGTAAAGGAGCCCTGTTTCACGCAGGGCGCAGAAAGTAAAACCAAGAGGCTTCAAGTCGTTTGTATGC